CCGGCGCCCCAAAAAAACCCTGAGGCATGCCAGATCTCTGTTCCCTTGGAGAGGGGCTGCTTTCTCCCCTGGCACTGAAACGCCACTCGACTTACTGTCGGATGAACTGGATGGCGTCTTCGTACTTCATCCCACTCTCGATCAAGGCCAGCGCGACGAGGACGGGAGCGCTGAAAGGCAATGGCAGTGGCGGGCTCCCCAGCCACGTGGCCCAGAGGCTGACATCCCGTCCCGGTGCGGGGGGACACGCTGCAGGGCCGTAATGGTGGCATTGCGGGCAATCGCCAGCGCTGGCTTCTAGTTTGTGATTTCTTGCTTTTTGGCTGCAAGTGCTGCCCCAACAAACGGCTGATTTTAGGGGGAAAACCCCCAGGATGGGGCTGGCAGCTGTTTGCTGCTCTTCTAAAGAGCATGAGGACTTAGGAGGCAAATCTATTGGAAAAGTGGATGTAAATACACATGCAAAACCTGACCTGTGGCGGGGGGAGCAGCAAAACACAGCAGCTCTTGAAATGCCGTGGCTCCTGGTTGTAGCTGGAAGCATTTTGCAGTATTTCCATAACGAGCTCTTAGCAAAAGCAAAATGGCCGTGGGGCACTGGCAGGATAGCACCGAGCAACCCAGGTCCCCCCTGGTGCCCAGGATTTGGCCATGAGCAGTGCAAGGATGAGCTCAGGCAGCAGCCCTTCGCCGTCAATGCCTATTCCCGCTAAAGTCTCCATGGCACGCAAAACCCCTGCTCTAAGGTGGAAGGAGGAGAGCAGGCATGGTTTTCCTTCTTCCCCTTCATGGGTGAGGTGGCAGCCGGGGTGCCGAGCTCTGACTTACCGCCCCAGGCCGGCCACGCAGTGCACGGCCACGCAGCAGCCGGGGTCTTCGCAGAACTTGGTCTTCAGCAAATTGAGCCAATCTTCCACTATCTTGCTGGGAGGAGGCGCTCCATCGTCGAACGGCCAATCCTGCAAGGCGGGGGCAAGGTCAGGGGAAGAGAGAAACACTGTCAGACCCTGGGGAAAAACTCAGGGGATTGCTTTTTACTCAGGGCGATGGTGTTTTGGACCTCGGCAGCGGGGAGGCGGATGCATGTGCCGGCAACCGGGCTCGCACACAGCTCCACAGGGATGTAGCAGCTATACAAGTCTAGGGGTCCTCCCATCTCCTATGGACAGGTTCAGCCTTCAGGAGCACCTACAGGATCTGCAACATGGTCCCCATGTCCTCCTGCCTCCATGGACCACCTCCATGGTTGGATGACCACGCTGAGCTCTGAGGAGCCGCAACCCCCATCCTTCCCCCTGCCAGCTCCTGTCTAAATCCAGCACTTGGGAGCGCAAAGCCACTTTGTAGGAAGTTTGAGCAAAAGTGGCTTGGAGATGGCTGAAATCTCAGGGTCTGACACGATGCCAAAATTCAGCTTGCTGCAACACATGGAAGTGAAAGTGAACACACAGCCCCGAAAGGATGTTCTGGGGACCCCCAAACACAGCCCTAGAGAGAGCCAAAGGGAGGGAGGGAGACCACTCCAAATGGGGCCATTTAAATAGCATCCTTCAGGAAAGGCTCTTAAGGGGCATAAAAAAAGCGCCCATCTTCTTCCGAGCTTCATCCTCAAGCTGCATGAAGTCAACACTGGAATTCGGTGATGAAGTGGATAAAACGGGTGGTGCATTAAGCACCCCCCGGCCCTGGGCTCTGCTATGGGGGATAAGTGTCACCCCCCTTGCCTGTGACTGCTGCAGCATTTTGGGCAAGGAGATGCTCCTCATGGGCACCGGTAGCCAATCGAGGCTGTATGTCTCTCCCAAAATGAGGAATTCTCTCCCAAAATGGATTTGGCAGGAGGAAGGCGGCCACTGGCTACACAGGAGTGGGAGAGGGGGACGGACAGGGGAGCACTGCTCGGAGGGGACGTGGCATGGCGATCCCCGGAGTGGGAAGCATGGGGCTGTAATCCTCATGTTTGAGGAGTGAGTCACTAAGCTGCTGTGCTGGAGTCATCCTTGGTGTAAGACGGCAAAAGAAGCCGCTGAGTTTCACTTCAGTCTTTGAACCTGTAATGTGATTTCAGCGTGGCTTTGCTAGGAAAGGAGTGTGCTGGGCTTCAGGATACCCGTCCTGCAAGATCATCTCCTTCCCACGGCACGTGGAAAGCACTGATTCAGCCATGAGCGCAGGGCTTGCACTGGGGATGACACACCGTATCAGAAAATCATCGAATTATAGAATGGTTTGGGTTGGAAGGGACCTTCAAAGATCATCTAGTTCCAACCCTCCTGCCATGGGCAGGGACATCTTCCACTAAATCAGGTTGCTCAAAGCCCCAACCAGCCTGACCTTGAACACTTCCAATGATGCGGCATCCACAGCTTCTCTGGACAATCTGGTCCAATGTCTCATCATCCTTATCGTAAAAAAATTCTTCCTTATGTCCAATCTAAACCTACCCTCTTTCAGTTTAAAACTGCTGCCTCTTGTCCTCTCACTCCATGTTTCTCACAAGCTCCCTTTATATATATTGAAAGGCCACAATAAGGTCTCCCCGCAGCCTTCTCTTCTTCAGGCTTCTCCAACCCCAACTCTCTCAGCCTTCTTCACAGCAGAGGTGTTCCAGCCCTCTGACCACTTTCATGGCCCTCCTCTGGACTTGCTCTAACAGGTCCATGTCATTCTCGTGCTTGGGTGCCCTGAGCTGGATGCAGTACTCCAGGTGGGTCTCATGAGAACAGAGTAGAGAGGGAGAATCATAGAATCATTAAGGTTGG